GTCTCCACTCTTTGGGGGATGCCTTTCTCTTTCTTTGTCTGAAGGGCCTTCTCTATGCATTCCTTCCAACACTGCTAATACTAAGAGTGATGAACAAGATCAAATAGGACAGAGCCAGGGTTATTCTTATAGTACTGACCTGGCCGAGACAGACTTGGTATCCTTACCTGCTTCACCTATGTGTCCAACCGGCATTCAGTCTTCTGACCATTCCTCATCTCTTCTCCCAGGATGCAGGTTGCATCTTCACCCCAAACTAGGGTCCTCTGCCTCTGAACATGGTTCCTAGATGGTTCAGGGGATTAGAATCCACTGCGCAACAGGGGTATAACAGGTATTACTAAACAGTAGAAGGAAGTAAACGCAAATTACTTATGTTCAGAAATGGAAAAGGTTCAACCACTGGTGTACACTGTCAGTATCTTGTGCCTGTATCATCTTTGCTCTCAGCCATCTTGGATTACCTGCTGGATTTGAAGAAATCAAAGTTATCAATTACCTCTATTAAGGTTTATGTGGCCGCAAGATCAGCATTTTGTTCCACACTAGAAGGGTTTTCTGTATTTGCTCACCCTGTGTCTCAAGATTTAATAAGGGTTTAGTGAACCTCTACCCCCAGGTTTAGGGTCCCTCTACCCCCAGGTTTAGGGTCTTACTCATTCTTGGGATCTCAACCTGGTGCTAGATACCTCATGGGACTTTTGTTTGAACCTATGGCGACCTGCTCCTTGTTTCACTTATCTGTTAAGACAGCTTTTCTAGTAGCTACCATATCAGCCCATGGGGTTGGGGAGATTGGGGCCTTGATGACTGACTCCCCTGTTTATGGTGTGTGTACATACATATATATATATATATAAAACTTTTTTTAAGGATAAGGTCTCTTTATGGCCACACCTTAAATTCTTACGTGAAGTGCTTTTGGATTTTCCTCTCAACCAGACCATCCATCCACCGGTATTTGTCACTAAACCACATAAATCTCAACATGAGACCTCCTTTCATACTTTAAATGGGAGACAGGCTCTAGCCTTTTATCTAGTTATAACCAAGCAATTTCAGAAATAACCTAGACTGTTTTTCTCCATTGCAGAAAGATCCAAGGAGTTCACAGTCTCTCCACAGAGACTTTCAAAGTGGACCTCTGGGTATGTTGTTGCTTGCTACAACGCAGCTGGTGTTCTACCTTCCCAAAGGATAACAGCACACTCTGCCAGATCACAGGCAACTTCTAGTGTTACTCAAGAACATTCCAGTGTCTGAGATATGCAGAGTTGCTACATGGGCTGCAGTGCATACATTTCTAAACTATGTGTTGGTACATGTGTACAGTCTTCAGTCTTGGACTCAATTCCAAAGCTGTAGGGAAATCACTGAGGAGTCACCTGAAGTGGAGTCCCATAGGGACTACTCAAAGATGAAAAGAAGGTTACTCACCTTGTGCAGTACCTGTGGTTCTTTGAGATGTCTCTCGCTCTGGGTGCTCCACCACCTACCCTACTTCCCCTCTGCTTTGGATGGTTTTTTGATAGACATTTCGATAGAGAAGGAGCTGAAAGCAGTTCGCCTGCACAGCTCTATAGGCCCTATACACGCGGGATGAGGTTGTATAGAGAATCATGTGCAGGCCAAATGGACCCTGCTAAAAGTAAATCTACGATCAGGGCTTGAGACGCATGCATACCTGAAGTGGAGCAGTCACAGGGGGACACATCTCAAAGAACCACAGTTACTGCACAGGGTGAATAACCTCCTCTTCCTTTGCTGGTTGTCAACCATGTTCTATAACTTTATTTAATTAGGAAAGGCCAGGACAAAATAAACACACAGAAATATAAAATTTGACTGCATACAGATATTTGATACTTTGCCTTTTCCTGTGCATGCAGCTCTGCTCTCTCCCAGGAGCCTTGCAGTTGACCTAAATGCCCTGTAAACATGTGGTATGATACGTAGGGGAGCTTGAACATTTTTAGGGTTAGTTCAATATGTAGAATGTGATCCGATGCAGACCTGAGAGGTGTGAATGGCCATCATTCATCTCAATGGGGTTGTAATTCTGAAGACTGCAGATGACCGTTCCAATGTTAGCTTTTTTAACTATTTCATGGTTGATCATTTTAGCAGAAACATACTGCTACAGTAACTGGAATTGTGGATAGAATTTGAGTAGAGTACCACCCCAACCTTCCTCCCATGTGAACCCAGCAGGACTTAATGAATAAAAAGAAACCTCTCTCTCATAAACCACACTCTTGTCAGGAAAAGGGAAAGATCAAATCTTTCCTCTGAAACAAACTCCAGGGACTTCACAGCTGTTTGCTGTTACCTTGGCTTTTCTGCTGGCTTTGCGGGTGGTTGTTCATAGATTACATTTACAAAATACAGGTTCTGAAACTTATGTGGCCAGTACCATTTTCAAAATGTGGTAAAGAGTTTTTCTAAAACATTTCTCTCTTCCCTAACCCTCCATCCCCCCCACCCCAAATCCTCCTCCTCTTATCTTGTTTGCCTAACTGTATCACTTGTTTATAATTGCTGATTCCATTTTGCGCTGTTACTTCCCTTCCCCCACCCCCGATAGTCTTTATTTCTACTACTCCATTACTATTTTCAGGACACCTAGTTTCAAGTACAGTCCTATAAACAAATGTGTGAGCAGCAAAAAGACTCTTTCCCTGACAGTGGCTGAACTGCCTCAGAAGCCAGTGAGGAGATCCCTAGCCTAGGACAAACTTCAGGGTTCCACAGTATGTCAGTTGGTAATCCCAGCTATCACCAGAGAGGAATTAATGGTATAAATGTAGGCTTCGTCTACACTACGCAGCTTTTAGCAACACGGCTGTGCTGCTACAGCTGTGCCGCTAAAAGGTGGGCAGCATAGCTGCTGTTTGTCAGGAGGAGAAAGCTCTCCTGCCGACAACAAACTTCCACCCCCAACGAGCGGCATTAGTGTTGTCGGCAGGAGAGTGCTTCTGCTGACAAATCACTGTTCATACCAGAGCTTTTCATTGACAAAACTTTTGTCTTCCGTGTGTGTGTGCGCGCGCACACAGTTTTCTTTTTTAAACACCTCTGAACGACAAAAGTTTTGTCATTCACCTGCCAATGTAGACAAAGCCTTAGTGCCCAATCATGTCTGTAGTACAACGGGGCATAGTGTACTCCCAAGTTCTTGCAAAACAGAATCCTATGGGTCCAAGACATGGTCCTTCAAAATGCAGTCTGACGTCCTTTTAAGGTAGAGCAAGGCAACAGCTTGTTAGAAAGTTGCTCTGGGGATGACTCAGGGTTGTGTAGTGAAGGAAATTGTTGTCTGTAGGACCCCTGCTTCATCCAGTTGAAAGGCGTGTAATGAATGAGGCAGGAGATGGAAGGAAGAGAAAAGATGGTGTCATGGTTAACACAGTTGAATGCTGACCTACAGAATTGGATTCTATCCCTGCCTGAGTCAGAGTTCCTATAAATCAGACTTGCTCATGGTTTTAGGTTTCACAGCTCCTAATTGTGTGTTCCTCATTTTCTGGGTGCCTAACTTGAGCCCTTGAGGTCTGATAAGATCTCTGGAAAAAATGAGGTCCTGGGCATCTCAGATTGGGCGTCCAAAATTAGTGAAAACTTTGAGCTTAATCTCTGTGTGCCTAAATCCCCATCTGTAATATTACCTCTCATCTCACAGGCGTGAAAATACATTAATAAATATTTGTGAAGCGCTTGAATACTAGAGTGATGAGCATGACAGAAAAAGCCAAGAGGAAATTAATAATTGTATATTCAGAGTACGGTTTGAATAGTGTGCAGTAAGTAAGGGATAGAGCCACCCATTGAAAACACTGAGCAGAAAACAAAACATTGAGTAACTGCTCATTACATGAGCACCATCCATTCTGTGAACTGAATGAGGAAGGGGTGCTGTGGAAAAAATATGTGATCATGTAATTAAAGACTATCATAATGCACGTGCACAAGGGGACTGAATTAAGGTGCACAGACAAGCTTCTCTGGGCCTAATGCATTGGAACACTTGTTCATGAAGAATTCGTCTTGTGAAAACATGGTTTCAGTAATGATTACAGCTGGTCAAAACTTGGAATTTCTATTTGGTGGGAAATTTTGACATTTCAAAATTTTTCATTCCAAATTGGAAAGAGAACAAATATATATTTAATTTCAAAAATTTTTGATTTGGGATTTTGGAGTTTGACTTCAAATTTTACATACTATGCATTACTACTATAAAAATGAAAAAAAAACCTTGATAGAATAAAATTCAAACAAAATTCTGAAACAAAACTTCAAAATTTTCCAAAATACAAAATTTCCAAAATGCAAATTTTTTTCCTTCAGGTTTTTCTTTTTCAGGAAATTTTGTTGAAAACAATACAGTTTAGTAAAAAATTTCAGTTTAGTCAAAATAGCTTTTTTCTGACAAAAGACTGGATGAAAATTTTCTGACCAGCTGTAGTAATAATTCCATGGGTCTCTGTGCTCCTCCTCTTTCTGTACTGAGCAGGAAAGAGCAAAAGTGCCAGAGGGCCCACATGTAAAGGAACTGCAGCTACATGGGATGCTCCTGCTTTCCTTTTGCAAAATAGTTGATACAGCCCTGCAGCTGTGCAGGAAAGGGGTGTTGTTGATGTAGCTCTTTAATCTCTACCTACAAGATGATTAACAGGGTACCTTTTTTTTAAACAGACAAATATTTCTTTCCATTATTGTTACACAGACCATGGAGTCAAATATTTGGTGTGGGGTAAAGATGTGATATTAAAACAATGATGTTCATGATGGATCTTCATGCTGTACTGCATTTAGGGCAGATACTTGAAACTGCCATATGATTAGCTAGATAATTGTTGACATTACTTCTGCAATGAACTAATTGGCTACACACCTGTTAATCGAAAATTTCATGAATTCCCTTCCCCCCTCCCCATATTTTAAAATACAATCCTGCTACCCCTAAATATTTGGTTAAAATGATAATTGTTTCTTTGTAGATGGAGATGGCAGAGGAAGATAATAGTGGGGAAGAATACCCAAATGAAATTCATGATTATCTGTCAGCATTTGAAAAGTCTCTTGGTTCTGTAGATGACATGCTGAAGACTATGATGTCTGTTTCTAGGAGTGAGCTTCTTGAAAAGGTAAACAACCGCCCCCACAAGCAACCTTTATTATTGTTGTTTTGTTGTTAATTTGTATTACAGTAGCACTTGGGACCCGAGCCTTGATTGGGTTCCTAACTGTGCTAGGCACTGTACAGACACATAATAGACAGTCCCTGCCCCAGAGACCTAGTATTTAAATAAATATTTTCACGTTTATAGAACACTTTTTATTTCAAAGTGCTTCACAAGCTATATACATACAAAATAACACTGAAATGTAGCCAATGCATTAGCCAGCTAGCACAGAGTAGTGGGTCAGTAGGGTCATTTAGGCCAAGGATGTGAGGGCTTATCCCCACCCCTATGAAAAAGGCCATAGAATCTTTAATGTCCCCCAAGAGTACAGAGGCGAGCCATTTTTCAATAGTTTTATGTGAAAGACCTTCACGCAGTAAACTTCCTTGTTCTCAATTTATATATTCAGGAAGAATGAGTTGACGCTGGGATTTGAACTTTTGGTTCCAAGGAATAGAAAACTTGATGCTTAGTCTACTGCGCTATCCCTTCCAGCACTATTAAGAGCAGATCTAAGGGAGTCTATAAAACATTTTTTTTTCTGCATGTAGATTCAGTGCAAGGAATACTGCCAGAGGACTTCATACAAGCAGCTATATATTTTTAACATTTAAAACTGAATTTGTAATTTTTCTTTGGGGCAAAAAAGCTAATACGTGAGAGGACTTGTTTATCCATTAAGGATTCCTAACATGAATAAATTATGAAGAAATCAGTCCTGACAACACCAGTCTTTCGACAGTATCCATGTTAGAGCTGGTGGTCTGTATGATGTTATCAGAGTTCCTGGAAATCCTATAGGACTAAAACAATAAATTGACTTTGACAGTCCAAAAAAAAACCAAAACCCTCATTACCCGTTTTTTCTTCCTTCGGTGTATAGCCTAAAGTGTTCCAACATACCTAGAACACATCATCTAATGTGTACAGTGTTCGTGTTTGTTAATTGTCTGTGGCATACTAACCTTCTATTATAACTTTAAATGGATTTCAATAACTTTTTCTTGCATTCTAAATTTCTGTGCTGTTTTATTTTGGGGCTAGGGAGAGTTATTTTGAGGAAAAATCCTGGTGATGAAATGTGAGCTTTATCCTGAGAGGTCGGCATAGCAGGTGCTCAGTGCCTCTCAGCAACCAGACCCATCACCTTTTATTAGCCTGTGGCATTTAATGTTAAACTGGATAAAAAGTGAATAAATATACACTGAGGAACAATCCTGCAGAGAGAGACTTTGATGATTTAGGCATGGTCTACACACACTTTTTGTCTGATGTAACTATTTCTGTTGTGGGTGTGAATTTCTCTACCAAAATTAAATCCCTAGTTGTATCAGTATAAAGGTGCTTTATACCACTATAGCTTAAAAAAAATAGGTATATCTTCTAGAACTGGAAGGGACCCTGAAAGGTCAAGTCCAGCCGCCTACCTTCACTAGCAGGACCAAGTACTGATTTTGCCCCAGAACCCTAATTGGCCCCCTCAAGGATTGAACTCACAACCCTGGGTTTAGCAAGCGAATGCTCAAACCACTGAGCTATCTCTCCCTCCAACTTATTTCCCCTTCTCTTATGGGAATAAGCCATCCTGGTTAAAACACACTATATTACTTTAAATGTCCCAGTAAATTTAAAGTAGTACAATTCTTGTGTGTAGGCAAGCCCCTGAAAAATATTTTCCATCTCTAGTTTCTGTGATAAAAGTTCTCCTCGTAGCTAAATTGCCTGTATTAACAGCATATTTAAGGACAATTGATTGCAAAACCATGTACCATTGGTTCTTTGTCACAAATATATTCATATGGAATTATACTGTGTATGTTACTGAAAGCTACTATACATCTTAGTTAAAAACAATGCAGAAGCAAATGATCACCTTTGTTTGTTTTTTAAGTTGGACCCTCTTGAACAAGCAAAATTGGATTTGGTTTCTGCATACACGTTAAATTCGATGTTTTGGGGTAAGTATGCTGGAGGAGGGCGATAAGAGGAAGCAGAGTTTATGGTGGCCATTTTAACTCTTTTTTGATGGCTGTAAATTTTAAATAATCAAATTCTGCAGTCAAATATCTATCCAGTATTCTTTCAGTTATCCTAAGAACCCAAGTTTGCTAATGTCCTTCAATCAGGGTAAGCAATGCTGAAATTCTAAATTAAAATTGGTAATTACATAGGCTAGCCTCAGATATGTAAATGAGGATATTGGGTTTTTTTGGCAGCCTCTTCTGTCCTTTTTGGTTAACCATATTAGATTGGTACTGGAGTACTTGATTAGAATATTTTTAAATTAGATATTTGAACAGAGCAGCTAGGCTCTAATCCTGCAAACTTCATCAATTCATCTGTGTATTGTCAGCTACAGGATTGGGACCTTAATCATTCCTGCCCTTATGTTCAACAGAACGCATTTTCTTCTTGCAGTATACCTGGCCACTCAAGGAATCAATCCCAAGGAACATCCAGTGAAACAAGAGCTGGTAAGATTTCAATATAAAATGCATTGCAAAATCAGACTTGCCTAGGGCAAGTAATTCTTACATAATTTTAACTCTGCATTTAAAAATGTAATTTCAGTCTCCATGCACTGGTGTGGTGTATGCACAGCATTGTATAACTGTTGATATAAGCTGCTTAGCGCTCCAAATTAAGAAAGTCATGATATTTTTAGTTCAAAACAGTATCATCTGTGGAAAGCAAAGTTGTCAAGCCTGGTAAAATTGGAAAAGCAGAATAAGATTAATGGTCTCATCCTACCTTCCCCTTCTCCCCCCCCCCCCCACCCACCTTTTGTTTGAGAATTGGATTCTGAGCAGACCAGCTTTTCACTGTATCTGTTGAACAGAAAAATGTTACATGTCTAATAGTAATTTATAGTTTCCAGTATGGTGTTTTTTCCTATAAATACTTGGAATCATGTTAATCTCCGAGACTGCCTTTTCTGACTCTTGTATGACTAAAAGAATAGTGTGGTTGATTTACTAGCAAAGACGGGAAAGATGCCCCCCCCCCCTTTCCAGTTCCTCCATTAATTCATTTTCTCAGCAGTAAAGAATCCAGTTCAGCAACAAAGCTAAAAGCTTTTTTGGCATCAGTTGTATGTGTACTGTCCAGTAATTCTGCATTAGTGACATATTTACAACCTATAATAAATCTTTTAGGTTTGTCTTTATATTCCATTTAGATACATGAGTACAGTATATAAGGTCTGCTATCTTGGAAATTCTGCTGACTTCAAAAATCAAATCATTTAGTTTGAAGAAAATAATAGAAATATTATACTAATACCAATATTAAAAATAGAAATTATGCCCATTAGAAATGCTTATGTAAATAATAATAATAGATCGGTGCTGTATGAATATATTTTACTTATATGTATTATTAGAATACACATAAAGGTAATTCTACATAATCAAGGTAATAGTGCTTATGAATACAGAAAACTACTCTGAATATCAAAAGAACATGTTCTATTTATAATTTGGATTTTGCAGTGTGTAGTGGATCATGGAACAAAAATTGGATTGCTAATTTTTCATGGTGATTCAATTTCTGCTCCCTCTTACGCTATATTGTTACAAAAGCATTGCACTATTTTAATCTATTCTTTAAAAATATACAGCATAAAAATCTAAAGCAAGTGATATACTGGTATATACTTGACAATTGCTGATGATTTTAGTTTAAAGCAGATTATCTTCTAGTTTCTCATCCAATTTCTTTTTACAAGTAGCAATGTGAATGAATAAATCTTTCTTTTGTCCATGAGTAATGTGATGTTCTTATCACTCATGTGGAAAGGACAATCAGAAAAAGTTACTCTCCCACCATTTGTTTTGTTTTTAGAACTCTGCTCAACATGTACCTATCGTTAATACTTGGGGTTTCAAGTGATATTAATAAAACTCTCCTTCCGGCTGTCAGAGTTCATTTTTTCTGTCACCTTGTTGCGATGTTTCTGTCAACTCCTTTCCCTTGCTGATTTGTGTTGGATTGCCATCTGTTCTGATTAGCAATCTCAATCATACTAGAGAAATATTACAGCGTACCATAAATTCATACCCTGTAAAGCTTAACGAGTTAAAACTACACCTTTTACATTGGAATATTGGCCAACATTTTCAGAGATCAGTTTTGAGATGTGGGTTCTGATCATCCTTGAAAAACAGGTAAATGATGTAGGTGTCTGACTTTAGAGACCCAAGGTAGAAAATGTTGGCCATGTGCATATATAACACATACGCTGTATGTTGATATATGTATTATCTGTGTACATAAAATGTATATATTTTATTTGTCTATAATTCAGGGAATATGTAAAGTGCTACATAATAGCTGTTCATTAACTCTTTGTCTAAGGTCTCATGGGATGCCTGTGGGAGAGCTGTCAATTGAACTAGATCTCCTGAGTCCCACAGGACCATACTTCCTCTGTGTGTGTTTGTATAAAATACACATCACAGAATAATCGAGAGTTTCTTAAAAAAAAAAAAAATGCTTTCTTGGTTTTGGTTGGGCAGATTAATATTTTGGAAGTAGTGAGATTTGAATTTCAGCAGATATATATTTTATATGTATATAATGCACATATGGCTTAATTTTGCAGGCTTTACTTGTGCAAAATTCCTATTGACTTCAGTGGGTGTATGACCTTTTTAAGAATTGGAAGAGTAGGCCCCTAGGTTGTAATAGTATTAGACAAAATACTATGGGAATGAGGACCATACGTATGCCTAGATATATAAAGATGTTTGAAGTTGTACTACTAATGGCCTCATACACTTATTGGTACAATCACCATGTGTTGCAGAAAATCTGCTAAAAGGGCAGTCTTGAGTTTGCAAAGAATCCACTGGAGTTTGAACAGAGATGAAATATTTTATTCTGCTGTATATTATGGAATGCGTCATGTTCCGTATGCTTTGTTCTCACTGATCTCAATTTTAATAGTACATGTCTTCACAGAATAATATTGGGTGTGCTTTTTATTTAATATCTTCCAGGAGAGAATAAGAACGTACATGAACAGAGTCAAAGAAATAACTGACAAGAAAATGGCGTCCAAACTGGATAAAGGAGCTGCAGCAAGATTTGTAAGAAACGCATTATGGGAACCAAAACCTGAAAATAATCCTAAAGTGAAAGCTTCTGCTAAGACAAAAAAGAGAAAAACAAACTAGTTGTTTTTTATTTTCTTTTGGTTGTATTTTTGTTTATCAGGTAGGGAGATAACTAGAAAATTATTTTTTAAATTGTGTTTTGTATATATATTTTGCATCACATAAATGAAGTAAAACGACAATTCGGTGAATATATCTTTAGCAAAGATCTAAACTGTAGGGTCACGTTGAACAGCTGCTACTGAGATCACACCTGTATATACACATGTATATCTGAAAGTGAAAGTTGGTCCTTGGAGATTAACTTTAAAGCTTGGCTCTTTAAATGAGAACAAACTAATCATTTTTGCCAGCTCTTTGTAATAATGTGCTATTTCATGATTTGCTTCTAATTCTAATAATTTTTTGGGATAATTCTGGCTGCTTGGAACTCTGTTTTCTTAGTTACTGCTAAATTTAATCTCTGAATATTCAGACAGTCACAAGCGATGGACATCTAGTCTGTGTGAATTGTTTATGTAGGAGCCACTGGTTTTCAAGTACATCTGTGTATGTAATGCTTAATTTGTAGGGCATACTATCCTTTGTATTGCTTGTATTAAATATACATGATGCCTCTTTTTTTTCCCCTCCAATCTCTCAACTTGAATTAAGAGCTGTTTATGGTCTTTAATGTTTCCATGGCCTTTAAGTATGGATGAGAGCTTAGTGCGGGCACTGCGAGATGGACAGTTTAGCAGGGATTCGCTCTGGGAATGGTGTGTTTTGCTGTTCCCTTTGATACCGAGTGTGGAAAGTATTCTCTAGTACGGTAAAAAGTATTGAAATACTGGGCAAATACCCTGCTTCATATATGATTAATTTGTACTCTTTTAAGGAGCATATGCATTCTTAATCTGTTGGGAATTTGTTCAGGAGAACCTGTTAGTTCATGTTTCAGTACACTGCAAGCTCACAAATTAATAATACAAATTTGGTTTTTTTGGTGGAGAAGGTTTGCTGTGTTGAAGGTGGCGAGAAAATGCCTGTGATTAGGCATGCTCTGATTTGAAAGATGGAAGAGCTGGTATTAGTGATGGGATGAATATAAGGGCCTGTCTATACTTACGCGCTGGTTCGGCGGCAGGCAATCGAACTTCTGGGTTCGATTTATCACGTCTTGTCTGGACGTGATAAATCGAACCCAGAAGTGCTCCCCATCGACTCCGGTAATCCTGCTTGGCGCGAGGAGTACGCGGAGTCGACGGGGGAGCCTGCCTGCCGCGTCTGGACTGCGGTAAGTTCGAACTAAGGTACGTCGACTTCAGCTACATTATTCACGTAGCTGAAGTTGCGTACCTTAGTTCGAATTGGGGGGTTAGTGTAGACCAGGCCTAAGTGAAGTATCACTACCTGCTTGTAAATGGAGAACCCAGTATCAGACATACTGGGTTAAATTTACTGTTGCCCTGCACCTTGTATAATTAAATTGCAAGATTGAGGTCTTACAATGTACAGGCATTAGGGGCATTCCTGCACAGAGTCCATTGCCTTAAATGGGGGCTTCTTGGGCATACAGGAGTCTGCCCTTACGTTGTAAATTGCAGGATTGGGGCCTCGAACTGGGGCAAAGTGAGTGTAAAATTCCATCAAATCAGAATGGGTAGCATTTTACACTTGCTTTTTACCAGTGTAAATGACAATGCAAGGTACAGTGCAATGGTGAATTGGGCTCACTGAACCAATCCTAACAATCTGAGATTCACCTGTAATTTGCATTAGGTCTCTCACCTGTTAATGTGAATAAACAAGATTCTACTGAATTGTTCATTTGGAGTTGAGATACATTGAATTTCTCTGTTACGCATAATTGAAAGCTATTGGATATGATATGGGAAGTTATTGTTCACCTAGTTATTCCGAAGAATTACACCACCATGTGCTTACATGTAGTCTAGACTGAGTAGAATGAGATGCTGTAACTGAAGCTATATCACCGTTGACCATTCAGAAATGTATTTTTAAAGAGATGTTTTGATAAACTGTCCAGTTGTTTATTAAGCACAAATGTTAATAGCTTTGTATGTTTAGAAAATGGCTCTGTGAATGTTGTGATGAAGAATAAACAAGCCTAAGCTAATATGTAAATATATTTTACGCTGATTTCTGGAATTATTGCTACTCTTTGTTCTAACAAAGGATTTTCCTCCTCCAAATGCTCATTCGCGGGCATAATTTTACTGCCACAAGTAGTCTCGTCGATTTGTCCATGGGGCCACTCACATGAGTTATGTATGTTAAAAGTGCATAAGTGTTTGCTGGATCAGGGCCAAAATAAGGACACTCAATTCCCTGTGGAAACAGGTATACTTATGTATAACTGAAGAACTCAAAGTCGCATGACTCATCTTTCGGCTTAGTTTTATTTTTAATCTTAAAATATTTTCCCAACTATTTAAGCTAACATATAATACAAATCGATGGTGTAAATCAGTACTGTTTGTGATAGGTGTGGGGGGAACTTACTCCCTTTGGAAGTCTGTTTGTCCTTTTGAGGGCCTCTTAGGTCCTGGTCCTGCAATGTCCTCCATGTGGGTGGACCACTCTGCAGGGACCCATTGACTTCAGTGGGGTTCTGTGTGGGTGCAGAGCTCAGTATATACAGAATTTATTGCAGGATCAAGTGTTAGTCTGAAAACGTAAGTTCTAAAGCTGGCCTGAGGTGTTATAAAATATGCTTAACATATTGATATTGTGTGCTTAATGCATATTAATATATGTGGTATCAATAATACATACTGATAGTGATTTTTATATATACACATTTAAAAATCCTATCAGTATGTATTATTGATACCACACATACTAATATGCATTAAGCACATAATAGCAAAATAACATTACATTGTACATATATTTCTAGCAGTTACATGGCTAATTCAGGCCATAGTTAATTGAGACTATTCAGCAGTTACATAACTAATTCAGGCCACTCAAGCCAAATACTGTGTGCTTAATGTAGATTAATATACGTGGTGTCAATAATACATACTGATGAAGTGATTTTATATGCATATAAAATCACATCACTATATATATGTACATAAAATCACATCAGCAATATGTATTATTGATACCACATTAATATGCATTAAGTGCACAATATCAAAATAATATGTGCATATATATTTCTAGCTGTTACATAGCCTGAATTAGCCTATGTCTTTTTATATCCCATGATGCTTCACAAAGCTGAAGTTCAGCTCTGGCATTAGAAAATAAGAAACTTGTCAAAAGGCAAAATAGCTTAATGTTCTACCCAGATACAAGCTGAGGAGAAACCTTCATGGACTGTACCTCAAATGTTAGTATCCAAAACAAAGATAAGGAAGGAGCAGAACAAGAAATTAAGGAACTGGGCCAAACTGGTGGACTGGATTTTAGTGACGGGTAAAGCATTTCATAATTTGTAAAATTGTCCGTCCTATAAATACTCCTAGCTAAAATGTGTAACTTTGGGAGCACACCTTCTATGTAAGGTGAATGTAACAACTGTGCACAAGACAACTTCCTGGAAATCGGTATCATATTGAACCTTTCCTCCTGTACTATTTTATTATTGACTTTTAGCAGTAATCCTGACATTGGTTTTTAGGCTCTTGAATGTATTTCATACGAAACCAAAGTGTGGTCAAGCAATTGACTATACAGTTTATCAACAGAGACATGGGATAGTCATGCAGGAGATAAGATTTCTGGGCCAGACCAATAGTCCTAAGCACAGAAACTAGGCCTATGGTACAGTGCACAGGGGATGATCATTAATACTCTGTTTATTCAATTTTCACCTCTAGTCAGCCTGTGTACAGTAGTACTTCTGGGGGAATTCTGTGCCATTGCACATGCACAGAATTCATGTCTGGTGCAGAATGTTTTTTCTGCAGAAAATACATTCTGCCCAAGAAGTGCTTGCGCGGTGGTGCAGAATTCCCCCAGGAGCAGAAGTTCTTCACAGCACAGTCGAACCAGGATAGAACAGGCAGAGTAGGGCACACAGGGCTGCTGGGGGAGGGGGGTGTCACAGACTGGGGTTCAGAATGGTTAGTGCAGGGGACAGACAGGTGCAGACTCAGCAGCTAGTGGGATAACACCATTGAGCCAGAGGCTGAATGGGAATGGGGGGTGCAAGGTCACATGAGGGTGGGAGCGGGTGGGCTGCAAGGACACATGGGGATGGGGGGCGGCATACAGACAGGGGCAGATGTGCCTGACTCAATGGGAGAGGCTTGGGATCAGCCAGGGTCTGCATGGGGGAGGCTCCCAAACTTCCTAACAATCTCTTCTCCTCCTCCCTTCCCTCCCCCCCCCCCGAAAAAAAAGAAACTTCCATACTTCTCCCAGCCACACCCAACAACCCTTCAGGTTCACTCCAGGCTCCTTCCCTCTCCCTCAGCTCCTCTGTTACCCCTCACTCCCCCAAGCTTTTGCATTGCTTCTGATGGGTGCAGGAAATATGTTTCTGTATTGTAACTTAAATGAATTACTCAAAGTTCTGTATTAATATGCCTAGTAAGGAATCTATTTGTAAAAAAAAATTACTAGAATCTTTTTTAGTCTGTATTGTTGCTAACAAGTATTTTGAAATAAATTACCAAAATAATTGAAACTGGCTTGATTATATTGTTGTTGTTTTGCCAAATATGCAGAATTTTGCTGAATTTTTAATTTTTGTATGCAAAATTCCCCAGGAGTAACAGTAGGGAGCCAGACGTTCTTTTCAATCACAGGGAAAACAGCAGGATAGCAGCATTCTGAAAGGGGCGTGGGGGCGCGCAGGGGAAGAATTAGCTAGAGAAAGTTTTGAGAAGAAGCCTCCTGAAGTTTCAGCTATCTAGTAAAAGCAAGAGTGGAATAGTCTTGGGAAAACAGGATTGGTTAGCTAAGCACTTGGCAGCAATTGCTTAATAATGGCTTAGAACCATAGACGCATAGGATTGGAAGTGACCCCAAGAGGTCATCTAGTCCATTCTCCTGCCCTGAGACCATAGTCCCTGAAGAGTGTCTAACCTGTTCTTAAAAACCTCCAATGACAGAGATTTCAACCCCCCTTAGTAATTTGTACCAGTGCTTAATTACCCTAACAGTAGGAAGTTTTTTCTAATCTGTAACCTAAGTCTCCCTTGCTGCAGTTTAAGCCCACTACATCTTGTTCTGTCCTCAGTGGTTAAGGAGAACAATTTTTATCACCCTCTTTATAATAATCTTCTATGTATTTGAAGACTGCTATCATGACCCCCTCTCTGGCTTCTCTTCTCCAAACTAAACAAACCCATTATTTCAATATTTGCTCATAGGTCATATTTTCTAGATCTTTAATCATTTTTGTTGCTCTCCTCTGGACTTTCTCCAATTTGTCCACATCTTTCCTGAAGTGTGGTGCCCAAAACTGGACAGACAACTACAGACAAGGCTTTAACACTGCTGAGTAGAGTGGAATAATTACTTTTCATGGCTTGTTTACAACACTGTTAAAACATCCCAGAATGATGTTCACTATTTTATTTTATTTTTTTTAACAGTGTTACATTGTTGACTTACATTTAGTTTGTGATGGCTATAACCCCCGGGCCCTTTTCTCTCTCT